CTGCGGACCTTCAACTTGCTCGGGTTTATAATTCGCACATCAGACATTTCTGTTTATATTCGCTGAATTTTTTCATGGCTGCAGATCCAGAAACAAAAATATCCCAAAAAGATGTCGATTTTTCGGGTTTTTTATGCTAACGTTACTTCTCGAAACGTAAAGCATGTAGAAGGCTGAGGATTTAAGGTGACATCTCAAAGTTCATTATAGAGAACAGCCCAGCATAGCTTTTACGAAAACATGCAAATTTTTATTTCTCAGTTTCCAGCAATGGAACAAATGCAGCAATTGTATGTATGAATGTCTGATGGAATATGCTAGAACAAGTTCGAAGTTCCTAGATTTTTTTTGGACGAAGGTTTAATTTTTTTCAATTTTTTGGGCAATCGGATCTTTTTAGACTTCGGATTCAAACTTTTTGTGGATCGCACTTGATTTGAATGTTTGAATGTCATCTCATAGAAACTGCTAAGCTCTATCAAAACATATCCCGACTACAGAAAAAAAAGGATTGCTTTTGGCAGTAAAGAATCAAGTATGAAAAAAGTTCCAGGACAACCTAACACTAATTCTCCTAGGATTCCACCTAAGTGACTCTAACTAGACCATAATCTCCGCAGTTCATGTCTAGTATTATAAAGTTCACCTCTGATATAGTGTCCTAACTTGGCTGACAACATTTTCGCGTCGGTCACGGGGCTCAGAACTTGATGTGCGTTCTGTGGGTAGTTTTAACGCGCGAGCGTTGTTATCAGCGCAGTACTGCGTTTCGTTAACTGTGCTAAATCACAACCTCTACTTTGAGGAAATCACGTAACCGATCATCACGTAATTAACGTTAGCTCACGCTAATCTGAATTCGCGTAAGTTGTGAGAATTGCTAATAAGCCCGTGGTTAACACAGGCATTATTCCATTCATCTCATGCAAAATAAGGCCAAATTCTGGAGATTGTGCAAATGCACAACTTCTGTCTCGGATGTCACTGGGGCGCCTGTTCAAGCGATGTTTGCTTTTTTTGGCATTGATTTCTCTCCTGCTTAGTGTCTCAAAGCTCAACAAAATTTAGTTGGTGGTAAAAGGATATGCTTTTGAATAGCGTTGCTAAGACTTCCACGCATCTGCATAGGGATCGAGATTTTCTTCTTCTATTCTAGATTCTGTAGATGGAATGTAGCGCGGAACTGTCAGTAAAACTCTAAATAATCAGAACTCATTGCGGCTTCCTTCGTCTTTATTTCAAGAATGTATTCACGATCCCGTGTTAGAGGATTATCTTCAACTGAATTGCATGAGAAAATACTAGAACACCGTTATTTAATCATAAGACGCTCATACTAAACTTTTATTGAGTATCTACTTATTGTTAGATGCTAAGTGAATTGATCCCAGAGATCGCCCAGACATTCTTGGAAGTCCTAAGTATGGGAAGGAATGTGTTGTTGGATACAAAATGATCGAAACCTCTATTCTTCTTGAATTCTGCAAATGATTGCACGACATTCATGAGATCTTATCAGCGCGTTTTTTGTCGATGTTGTAAACTGGCCACAGTTCTATCTTGATGTCGGTACGATGGTCTCTAAAGAACAGTCTGGGGTACTATAGATTAGGAAAAAGAGTTGTCTGTGTGGT